CTCGAGAAGAGGCTCTCTGTGTGGGTGGACACTTTTACGGGAATTAGCAAAGGTGAAAAAGCCCCCCCCATCGCCGAACTGCCCCGGTTGTTTGCTCACTGCTCCAGGTGACCATGTAACAAATTGCCCACGGTAAATCGTCCCTAAGGTTGCGCGCTTGGCATCCACACCAGTTGGTATCGACAAAGGTTTTAGCGACAGTCTCTTGACTGGCCTCTCTGGCACGTAGCATGCCGACGTGCCCGAACTCAATGAGTAATTGGGGGGGGGCAGGACTGGAAACTGACAAGTACTAGTATATCCCCCTATATCTCTAAAGCCCGTGGTATGGCTGAACACTTGAAATGCTTTCGATTTCAGGAAGGGAAATGCCGCACAACAAAACAAAGTTCGAAAGAACGAGAATCAAGAAAGGAGGAATTGAAGTCGAGGCAAAGCGAATATAGACAAAGAACAAAAAGAGACGAACTGAAGTCGAGACAAAGCGAGCGTGCTAGGGAAAAATCAAAAAATGACGAACCTACTTCTAAATCTAAACAAAGTGAACAATCTAAAATGAAGTCTAAACGTGAGTCAAAACGGGAGAGTGAAGGAAGCAAGAAAGAAGTAAGCAAAAGGCCGACAGTCACTACACAGCGCACAACTGGTGCAACCTCAACAACAGATAGGAAGGAAAAGAGATCTGATCAGGAAAAGAAAGCTAATCGTATTCGAAAGGACAAAGCTGAAAGACTCGATCGTGCCATGGCTCTTTATGCGGTAGGTTTGCAAGAGTTCTGTAAAATGGCACGATCCACGTTAACCATAGGGTGGGACAATCCATTACAAGACCCCTTCGCCAGAAATCTTCATTGTACGACGTGCCATGCTCATCACTTGGCTTAGTCACCATTAGAGCGCCCCTACCACTGTTGATTATAGAATAAGTATCGAGTCGAATAGTTCACTCTTACGAAATAGATGACCTGTTGACATCGCATACAAGGTATATCCCTGCAAATGACAGGGCGTGTGAAGGGGCGTGGAATGGGACGTGGCCAAGGCAGATTTCCCACCAGTCGTAGCGGGCTAAAGACGCGATAATTGATGAAAAAGGGCGCCCTGGCTGCGTTGCGATCCATGTCCCTTCACAGGCCTTCTTGTTTGCAGGTATGACTGTGACATGTCAATGACGTCATTTACAGTAATGGCAATAATAAAGCACAAGTTTCCCTGTTA